TACATCGCTTTTAAATTATTCAGTCCCTCATCTGTTTCAGTGCAGTATACACAATTTATCCAGTTTTTCTCAATCTTACCCCCTCTGCCTTGTGTAAAGTGAGTAGTACAGGTCATTTGTACCAAGATTAACAAAAGTAGTACAATTGTAGAAGCATCAGGATCATGTAAAAGTTTATCCAGCTTGATACAGACATCACAAGTCAAACAGCAGAAGTATTGGCACAGAGCACCATTGATTACAACTCCCCATCTGTACCGATCTGGTTAGACTGGTCTTTGAATGGGAAGAATGAAACCATTAATTGATGAGAAGTAGTGCTGTAGTTATATGACTTGTAATACTGACCTCATCCTGATGTCTGATCACAATTTTTGTGAAAAGTGCATTCATTCATAAATGGAGTGACAGGATTTGCCCTTCCTGTCACTTATAGATGACAGGAACTAATCTAATGAATCTTGAGTGGTATTGGATACTTCCACTGCAAATATATGTGGCTAAATATATTTTTTACGTGGTTGACTTGTCAGTCCAGCTACTGTTAGACAGGTTTGCTTTTTTTTGTTTTGTTTTGTTTGTTTATCTGTTTTCATGTGACCACAACATCAAGAAAACAAAGGTTCTCACCACTGGGCCAATTGGTAGCATCCTGATGGATGGTGAAGAGATTGAGATTGCTAACAGCTTTAGTTTGCTTGGCTCCACGATCAATACTCTTAGGACCAGCAGCTAGGAAATCAAGAAACTAATTGCATTGGGAAAGTCAGATGTCAGGAACCGCTCAAGAGTACTGAAGAGCAACGATGTCAGGCTGAAGACTAAGGTGCATCTAATCCAGGCCATAGATTTCACAATTGCTTGCTATGCGTCAGAGAGCTGGACAATGACTAGGGATGATAGAAAGAGAATTGATGCTTTTGAGCTGTAGTGCTAGAGAATAGTGTTGAATATACCATTCACTAACAGGAGAACAGACAGGTTTGTCCTAGAGAGTGTGAAGGCAGCCTGCTCCTTGGATTCTGCTCCAAAGATTCTGAGGCTTTGTGTGACATACTTTGGACATGTTGCAAGGCGGAACCAGTCCTTGGAGAGGGACTTCATGCTTGAGAGGGTGGAGAGACGGAGAAAGAGAGGGAGACCATCAATGAGATGGATTGATACAGTGACTGGGGTAATGGGAATAGGTGTGTTGGCGACAGTAAAGTTGGCGCAGGATAGAGCAGGGTTCAGGGCTGTTGTACACAGGGTTGCTGTTAGTCGCAGGCGTATGTTTGAGGGAACTCCGGTGGCCTAGTGATAAGAAACTACACTGGAATCCCAAAGACGTGCAGCTCACGTCTACCAGCTGCTCCACAGGATAAGGATGGGCAGCCTCCTCCCATTCCATTTACTGCTTGAAAACTTGCTAGGGGGTCAGCTATGGGTTGACTGCAACTTGATGACACACAGCAACATTGTGTATTAGAACAGATTTTAAAAATAAGATTTGTAAGTTTTCTTTTAGATTAAAAACATGCATGAATAATTGAAAAAATAAGTTACTTGTTTTAGTCTTAGGACAAACTGATAAATTATGCAATAATCTTTTGCAAATAAAAACTGTAATCTGAGAATGCTTGCTGGATCATTTAATATTCTGCATTTCTTCTCTTTGCTTTGGCCTCTCAGTGCTAGTGCAATATTCAGAGTCTCATCTAACATCTAGGTCATTTCTTCCTCCTCTATCTTTGTAATGACCTTTTGCACTCTTCATGGATAATAATCTTGATGTCTTACCACAGCTCACCTGGTCTTTGCTCATTGGTGTTCAAAGCTTCAAATCTGTTACTGGGATGGTTTTGAAATTCTTGTAGGATAGACTCAAGGTCAAATTTTGGTTCCTGTGGATTTGATAAAATTTTCTTTAACTTCATCTTGAGCTTGCGTATGAGTAGTTGATGGTCCGCTCCACAATCAGAACCTGGCCTAGTTTTCACAGCTGATAATGAACTAACTCAGTAGAGTGGTTAACTGAGTAGAACGAGAATCCCAGACATTTGATTGTGCTTATGCGAAACCTATACTTGGACCAGGGGACAGTTGTCAGAACAGAACAAGGAAACACTACATGGTTCAAAGTTGGGAAGGGTGTATGCCAGGGATGTGTCCTATCACCATATCATATCTTTTCAATCTATATGCAGAGCAGATCTTCCAGGAGGCAGGGGCTTTATGAGGAGGAATGTGGTATCAGGATTGGAGGAAGCTCATCAACAATCTGCATTATGCAGATGACTCAACCTTGCTTGCTGAAACTGAGGAGGACCTGAAGTGCTAATTGCACAAGGTCAAGGACTGCAGCCTTCAATGTAGATTGTAGCTCAACATCAAGAAAACAAAGATTCTCACCACTGGGCCAATTGACAGCATCATGATAGATGGTAAAGAGATTGAGATTGTTACCAGCTTTAGTTTACTTGGCTCCAAACGCAACACTCTTGGAACAAGCAGCCAGGAAATCAAAAGATTAATTGTATTGAGAAAGTCTGCCATCAAGGACATATCCAGAGGACTGAAGAGCAATGACGTCAGTCTGGTGACTAAACTGCACCTGATCCAGGCAATAGTTTTTGCAATTGCTTGTTACGCATTAAAGAGCTGGATAATGACTAGGGATGATAGAAAGAGAATTAATGGATGCTTTTGAGCTGTGGTGCTGGAGAAAAATATTGAATATACCTTTCACTGCCAGGAGAACAAATAGTTTCGTCCTGTAGAGGGTGAAACCAGGCTGCTCCTTGGAGGCTATGTCAGATAAACTTTGGACATGTTGCACAGAGGGACCAGTCCTTGGAGAGGGACAGCGCAAGAGAGGAAGACCCGGTGAGATAAAATGATGCAATGATTGGAGTAATGAGAATAGGTATGTCAGATAGGTTGGCACAGGATAGAGCAGGTTTCAGGGCTGTTGTACATGGTGTCACTATGACTCGCAAGCAACTCAGTGGCACATAAAAACAATGACAATCTGAGAAAGGGCCAGACCTCCTTCCATAGTGGTTGCATCATTTTATATTCCCACCACCAGTGAATAAGAGTTTCATTCTCCCCACAACCTTGTCACTGTTTGTCATTTACTGCCTCATTGACCTTTGCTATTGTTGGTGGAGTGAGGTTATATCTTTTAGTTGTAACATTTGACCCAGCTATCCCACTACTGGGAATATAACCTAAGAAAACTAGAGCTGTGACTCAGACACTATATATGCACACCCATGTTTACTGCTGTGTTACTCACAATAGCAAAGAGTTTGAAGCAGCCAAACTGCCTATCAACAAACGAATGAGTAGAAAAAACTACATTATATTCACACAGTTGGATATTACACAGCATTGGGAGGGGGGGGAGGAATGAATTTATAAAACACTTCATAACACGTGTGAATCTGGAAGAAACTATGTTGTGTGAAATATCTCAGTCACAAAAGGGCAAATACTGCAAAACATCGCTCTTATAAAATGGGAGAGGGGAGAACAGGAAAAGAGTGCATAGGTAGTTAACATTACACTGGAACAGATTGAGGTGAAGGCCTGTATGATAGAAATGTCTAATTGGGCATTGTATGTATGACCATTGACAATCTGCAGCAAGAGGTGCATTACAGAATGGACTGGGGGAGGGGAAAGGAAGAAAATGTACACCAATGAATGAAAGCATACCCTTTCTGAATAAACCTTCATTAATGTCACAATTTTTTTAAAAAATGAACTGATAAGTGTAATCTGAAAGTAATGTTAATTGCTTTCTTCCTTGTTGTCTTTATAGGTGAAGAAATTCTAAAATCTCCTCAAAATGTAGAGGTCAGCATCATAGATGACAACTTTATGCTGAAGTGGAACTGGAGCGACAAGTTTGTCAGTAATGTGACTTTTTCAGCAGATTACCAAATGTATGCGGCTCTAATTGTTGATTTAACAGAATTAGCTGAGTAATTTTCCCAATATGTCTAACTTGCATAATTATTAATTTCATTTCTGTAAACAGGGAGGTTTAAAGGGAGATGGTTGGTGAAAATACACATATTAAAAGATCCACTAGTTCATGTTCAAAAGGAATATATAATTAGGCAAATATGTATGACAGCAGTCTGGAAAAGGGTGCATTGCAGGGTTGGCTGGGGTGGGAGAAGAAAATGTACAACAGTGAATTTTTTTTTAATCTAACTTTAAAAAAAGACACTCTAGTTCAGCAGTTTCTATATGTATTAATTAAATGATATTGATTATATTTTTCAAGTTGCATAACCTTTCTTTTATCCTTTTCCAAATTCTTTTACTGCCATTAATATAAGCTCACTGCCTTCTGTACTGCACTGCTATTTTTTAAAGAGCTATTCTCAGTTTAATGTCACATAGATAATACTTTAAAGGGACTAATACTTCCCAGCAATAGCAGAATTCAACAGAGCCACAAACAACAATTGCTGGTGAGGTTGTAGAACCTTTATTCACTGCTAGTGGGAATGTAAAATGGTACACCCACTATGAACAATGGTTTTACACTTTCTCAAAAAGCTGGAAATAACATATACCATTTGACCCAGCAATTGCATTGCTGGGAATATACCCTAAAGAAACCAGAACTGCCATTCAAACATGTATGCACACCCATGTTTATTGCTGTGTTATTCATAATATCAAAGAGATGGAAACAACCCAAATACCCATCAACAAATGAATGCAAAGAAAAACTATGGTATGCTCGTATAACGGAATACTATGCAGCACTGAAAAATAATGGACTCATAAAACATTCCAGGACATGAGTGACCCTTGAGGACATAATGCTGAGTGAAATGTCTCAGTCCAATAGGACAAATAATATATAAAACCACTGTTAAGCAACACTTACATGTGGGGCTGGGAGCAGAATAGGAAAAGAGTAGATAGATAATGAATACTGTATTGGAACAGATGAGGGAGAGAACTTTTTAAAAGGAATATATAATTATGCAGTATATGTGAGACAGCAGGCCATAATTATAGGTATGTTGCAGAGAGAACTGGGGGAGGGGGCAAATTGTGTAACACTGAATGATTTTTAAAAAAGTAAACTGGGGGAAGGGTAAGGGAGGGAGAGGGATGAAAATGTGGAACAATGAATGAAAATCTAATTTTTTTATTAAATTTTATTGATTGTAATGAACATTTACAGAGATTTTGGGTTTCTATTCATTTATTGTTGCACTATTTTCTCTACCCTCCCCCCCAGATTGTTCCTCTGAAAAATCTAATTCTTAAAGTTTCCTCAAAATCACAATTAAAATAAAAAATTTTAAGAAAAAGCATAATACTCAAAGCAGACGTACTTTACTAATTACGCTAAACCATGGTTTGATGTAAAGAATACTTCAGGGAATAGTTTTTATTTAAAGATTATTTCAAAATGGTAGTGTCAGCGGTTCATCAGCCTCAGTGACTCCATAAAGTCTGGATTCCACAGGCATTACAGAGACTTAGTCAAATTCATCATTGGGCATTGGAAAAAAATTTTTAGGGCTAAAGATAGCAGTCAGCTTTTCTAGTTCATAGCCATATCATCTCTGGCCGTTTTAGATGCTTCTGTTTCTTTAGCTACGAAACGTAGTAACAGATACTGCCCTCATACTCTTGTTCCTTCACAAATTATTGCTTATACTAAATTTCCTGTCTTTAAGAACCCATCTTTTACACTTCTATTCTGATTTTAATATCATGTGCATTATTACAGTTTGTTCTTCCCCTCTTATTCTGCCAGCTTCTTAGGCCATTGCCTTGCAAAAATATGCCACAATACAAATTTGAGGAGTTAATATAGTGTTGTGTGGTATATACTTGAGCCAAGCTGTTTGCGTTTTAAACCATCCTCTTAGATATTCTCTGTGTGTCTCAGCGTCTTCATCTGTTTCATAGAGATGATAACTAATGTTGTTGTTGTTACATGTCATTGAGTTGGAACCAACTCATAGCTTGACCTCCAGCAGGATTTCAGAGGCAGTAAATTGCATGGGAAGAGATTGTCCATCTTTATCCCTCTGAACAGCTGGTAGAGCAACACTTTACCCACTAGACCACCAACACTCCTTAATATTGTTGTTGGGGCTATTTAAGTCAGCTACAATCCATAATGACCTTGTATATAGAATTAAACACTGCTTAATCCTTTACATATCCTTACAGTCTATGCTGTGCTGAAACCTGTTATTTAAGCCACTGTGTCAGTCCATCTCATTGAGCATCTTTTTTTTTTTTTTAGTGACCCTCTACTTCCTCTACTTTATTAAGTAGATGTCTTTCTCCATGGTAGTAAATAAGACCATATAATCTGGCACCCAAACTAGAGTACTTTTTAAAAAAGAGATGGCTAATTTTAGATAAGCTGGACCACAACTGCCAAATAAAATAGAGTAGGATAGCCCAAAAATAAAGTGTCTGTCTCAGAAAGTGGTAGGAGCATTGAGTAATTAATTGCATATGTACTCCTCAGAACAGCGTTACAGAAGTGATCAGGTAAAATACGGTAGCAGCAGCAGACAAGTATTTTTGTAGTAGTGTTCCTGAGGATATATAAGACATATACCACTGGTGATAAATGATACATCAAGATAAATAAATGAGCTATTATTAAGATTCCAGTTTAAAAAAATAATGCTGTTCTAAAAATTCAGTGTTTGTTACTTGTAACTGATAGGTTTGAACCACTGACCTTTCATTAGCAGCCAACTATTTACCGACTGTACCACCAGGATCCTACCTACATCTGTGATTTATTATTATATATGTAATGTGTAACATTCATTCTTCCATTTAGTGCTTAGACATGAGAGTGGACATGAGAGACTGAAGTTTTATTAGTCAAACTGGTTTTGAGAAATAAATATTGAATTGTTAACTACATATGATAAAGATATTTTACGAAAATAAAAGTAGCTTCGGTTGCAGTACCTCCCTTCTGTGTGTGAGCATTTGTACTGAGGCACACAGCTGTATCTTCTGTATAGAGTAAGAAAGACAAATGTAGGAAGTGGTCAGATGCAAACTCACTGCCATTGAGTTGGATTAACTCATAGCTGGCCCTCTGCTAGATTTCCAGAGAGTATAAATTGCATAGGAGGGAATTGCCCATCTTTTTTCTGTGGAGCCACTAGTGGATTTGAACTACCTACCTTTGGTTGCCAATGAAACGCCTTACCCACAAGGCCACCAGAGCTCCCTAAGTTGTTATGTACTGTTGAGTCATAACCAACCCCATAGCTGACCCTCCAGCAGGTTTTCAAAAGTAGAGAACCACACAGGAGGAAATTGCACATGTTTCTCCCATGGAGCAGCTGGTAGATTCAAACTTTGTACCTTTGTGTTGGCAGCACAATTCCTGAGCACTAAGCTACCAGAGAGAGCTTCCTAAAACATGAAAACAATGAAGGTTTAGTATTTATTCTTAAAGAATAAAATTTTCCTTTTTAATGAGTCTCTAAATTTTTTAAAATAAGATATACACTGACATGGAGGAGTTTCTCAAAGATACATAGGGTTGTGTTTTGTTTTTTTTAAAAAAAAAAAAAAACCCAAACAAAGTCAAACTAATTGCCATTGAATTGGAGGTGACTCATAAGTGACTCTGCAGCAGGTTTTCAGAGGCTATAAATAGCTCAGGAGATCATTGCTTATCTTTCTCCTGCAGAGCATCTGATAGATTTGAAAACACCTGTTTTTGTGTTGATAGTGCAACTCCTTAACCACTATGAGGCCACCAAAGCAGCCTCAACTTTTAAGATCCCATTAATTGCATTTCTTACCTTGGAGCTCAGATAATAATTGGCATAGAAGAATAAGAACCTGGCCATGAATGTTGTTGTTGTTGTTATGTGCCGTCGAGTCGTTTGCGACTCATAGCAACCCTATGTACAACAGCCCTAAATCCTGCTCTGTCCGGTGCCAATCACACTGTCTCTGACACTCCCATCCCGATTACCCCAGTCACTGTTAGAACCTCTACTTGGAATATTATTGCTTTTAGTTTTTGACTCATGTACTTTTAACTTGTTAGTTAAATTTGTGTCTTCTAGGCTGCAATACTTCCATGATACATCTTCAAGGATATGAACATGTAGGCTAAGCACAATTGATAACAGTGCATCTAAATTTCAGAATCATTGTCCACAGTAGTCTACGTGTTTCCTAGTGCCAAAGGGGCCCTTTAGAGTAGTGAGAGAAGATCTTCACCCTGAAACCTACAGTGTCCCTTTTCAGCAGGAAGTAGCTAAGAGAATACACCGTCCCCTTTTCCTTATGAATCAGGGTGAAGTCTCTCAGGGAGGAGTGATAGGGAATGGCAAAGGACACACTGACAAAGGAGATTAATCAGAACTGGCTTTGGCAAGTACTGTGGCAATGGCACAATTAAAACAGACTTTCAAGGGGGGGGGAAAGGAAGGAACTGAGGGGGAGGGTAGAGAAAATAGCACAACAATGAGTGACTGGAAACCCAAAATCTCTGTAAATGTTCATTAAAATGAATAAAATTTAATTAAAAAATTATTTAATTTTTGCACAAGTTCCTCACCACCCCCTAGTCCACTTTGCTGTGCACCTCTTATTCTGGACTGTTGTTATACATATAATACCTAATCATATATTCCTTTTAAACAGGTCTTTCCATCATCTGTTTCAATGCAGTATACATTATTTATCCCCTCTTTTCTGAGTAGTTTCCCCTAATCCCATATAAGTCTTGTTTTATAATAGTGAAATTATGCAGTATTTGTCTTTTTGTGACTGAGATAGTTCACTCAGCATTAATGTCCTCTTAGATCACCCATTTTATATAATATTTTATTCCTTGTTTTTCAGTGCTGTGTAGTACTCCATTGTGTGACTATACCACAGCTTCTCCATTCGTTTGTTGATGGAAAATGTTTTTTAAAAAACTAAGGTAGACATATATTTGGGCATCCTTCATGCTTAATATTCTAAAGTATCTTTGAAATAAAGTCTACAATAACTGTTAAGTGCAAATTATCGTTTTTTTTTTTCAAAAAAGCAGATTAGTGCTAGATTCATGAATTAGATTTCACAAAAAATGTCTTTTAGATAGTTTTTCTGATTGATTCGAGGTATACAAGATTTACCATAGGCAAAGCATTTTAATTCCTTTCCATCACTTTCACCCACTGTCTTCTTAGCATTTTATGGCAATACATTCTTTTTTAACTAACGTCTTGAGTCATCTGTCACCCAGCAAGTTTCTAATAGAGAAGTACAGCATATGGCTGCCCTGAGATGATACAGGAACAACAGGACCATGCCACTTTAATTGCTTCATCAGTTTCCCCTTTTGGAAAAGAAGACACTACTATGTATCGCTTAAACTTTTTATTGAATGTTTCACTTTGTTAGTTTATACTGAAACTTTAATTTTATTGTTTCTAATGGTGAATTAAATATAGACATCAGTGAGCAGGGATGGTGTTATTTGGGTGAAGACAGGAAACTGAAATCATATGGGGGGGTGTACATACATGTACACACACCATCAAATTGGATCTAACTGGTACGGAAGGAGATTGCCCCTCCTTCTCTAGCAGAGCATCTGGTGGATTCGAACAAAATTGTATTGCTTTTGAGGTCATCCTTAGGGCAGGAAATTTACTCATAGGAAGGAGTGAGAAAGGAACCATCTAATCCAATTCTTAAATCTTTAGTAATCAAACAGAGGTCATGAAATACAAAGTAGTTTGCCAGAAGTCAAATACATAGCTGTTTTTCACAGAGCCAAAACTAAATGCACTTCTTGCCTTAGTGTTCATTTCTTCTCTTCTTCCTCAGAATCCTAGAGCATTCACACACAAAATTATATATAGAATCACAGTTTAAAACACACACACACATACACACACACACTCACTTTTTACAGCTTGATTTAGATGCATTGAAAAGATTAGAAGGCTATAAACTTAACGATATTAATTTCTTAAAGAATAAATGCTACAACTGGCTTTATGATGTTAATAAACAGAACTTTTATTTTTTGTATTTATACACTTACTCATTTGCATTTTTATTTTAAAGGTCTGAATTGGATAATTGGTTAAAATTGCCTGAGTGTCAGTATATTACTGATACCAAATGCAACTTTTCTGCAGTCCACCTAGATATTTTTGAAGATGTTAAGTTACGTATAAGAGCAGAAAAAGGAAATAAAACTTCTCCCTGGTATGAAGTTGATTCATTTATCCCATTTCAAATAGGTAAGAGAAATTGGCTACAAATGGGCATATTACCTCAGCCTAGAATGCAAGTTCTCTAGGTATTGGCATGACTTGCTCCCTCAGTTTATACAGTTCTCAGCCTAGATGGCATTTTCTTAGAGAGACTTTCCTGACTCACTTACCTAAACAATACGTGCTGTCGTCATATATATCTGTGTGTTTAGTTGCTATTCTCCCACTAGTGTGTAAACTCCATGAGGGCAAAGGTCTTTTCTGATTAGATTAGTTTTTTACTTTGTATCAGTGAAGTTACATACTAAATTGTTTTGATTTTTACAGCTCAGATTGGTCCTCCAAAAGTAGATTTAGAAGCTGAAGACAAGGCAATAAAAATCAACATCTCTCCTCCTGGAACAGAAGACAGTCTCATGTGGGATCAGGAAAGAACAAGCTTTACGTATAGCTTAGTTATCTGGAAAAACTCTTCCAGTTTAGACGTAAGTATTTTTACCATTCATTGTTTGATGTAAAAGTAAAATGAAGTGAATGATCTCTAGAGTTTGAGTTCTTACGTTTTTAAAGAACAGACATAATTTTTTTTTCTTTTTAAAATCTTACAGGAAAGAACTGAAGATGTTTATCCCAGAGGAAAAATATATAAACTTTTACCAGAGACTACATATTGCTTAAAAGTTAGGGCAAGCCTACGCTTGCAGAGAAAAGTTGGTATCTATAGTCCAGTGTATTGTATAAATACCACAGGTAAGAAAGTTTTACTTTAGATTAAATAAATATATTACAGATTGTCAATATATTAATGCCAGCATTTTTATTATAGTAGCTGAAGTTCACGTGGTAGATTAATAGGTAGTAAACCTGAAATGCTAATTGTAATACCGTTTTCACAGGCAACAAAGTTTTATTTGAAATTTTTGTCTAACAGGAATGGTAATGAAAATCCATTTTTCTTAAAGGACAAATATGAGGGGAAAACCAGCATTTATTTGTCCATAACCCACAAGAAAGGAGGAAGTAGTTACCAGTTACAATAGTTGATCTTCTGAAAAGTATACGTTCCTGCGTGTTCTACTGTTAATAGTAAGAGCCTTGGTTCTGCAACAGCTCAGTGCTTAGATAATAACCCAGAGGTCAGGGGTTTTAACACACCAGCTACTCCAAGAGAGTTTGTTTCCATAGAGATTGTAGCCTTAGAAACTATAGGTAGTTCTTCTGTCTCCGTTGTTGTTGTTAAGTGCAAGCGACTCATAGCGACCCTAGGAAGGAGAGTTCTCGAGAGTCCTTGACGCTTGGGTCCCTTACCAGCCCGGCATGCCCAAATGCTGGCCAATTCCTTGCCCTGGACCCCCAGTTCATCTGGCAAGTCTGCTCTGCCAAGCCCCTCATGGGCCCAAAAAGCCACCACAAGTGCCTGGAGCCCTCAAACCTACCATGCCTCAAGAAGCCAGAGTCCAGATTCAGCTGACATTAGATAACCCAAGACCCTAGGTGGGGCTTGACCTTTCAGTCTCCATTAGGGTCATTAAAAGTTGAAATAGACTCGTCATGCATTAGTATTCCAAGAGGATAAAAGCATCTAGATGTAGTGTCATCTGCCAATAATTAATATCAAAACTGCTGTGGTCAAGTGCTAGTGAGTTGATTTTTAACTCATGGTGGCCTTGCGTTATAGAACTTTTATGTTTTTAGGCTGGCGCATCTCCAGGTCTTTGTCCTGCTGTGTAGGAGAGTGGGTTTAAACTCCCAGCCTTTGGGTTAGCAACATGGTGTTGTCACTTAGTGACAGTTATGTCACTAAGACTCCTAAAAGTCAAGACTCAGTGCTGGGATTTGTTATTTTAGCTGTGTGTGGAATATGCTTTATTTTAAAAATCCTTATTAAAGAGTTTAAAGTTGTAAAAAAGCAATGCTACAGGTGTTGGGGTGGCAGCATCTGGCCTCTACTAACAAAGAGGAGGAAGAGTCTCCATCAACAGCAACGCAAAACCAATTCCTGTGAAGTCAGACATGCCCCACACTCTGAAAACTTCTGCTGTCTAACACTGACTCTTTCTCATGGTTCTTGCTGCAATCCTGCTAGGTTCACTGATTTGTTGCAGTGGTCACATAGACCATACATAGGATTGTGGAGATTATTAGGGAAGCAGCAGGTTACAATTCATGTTGAAGACACTCATGCTACCTACCATTTTTCAATCCTGACCACTACATTCCCAGAAATAGTCCTAAGCAGGGCTCCCTCTAACCCTCAGCTTTGAACTTTACCCCACACTAGGGCAAATGTTACAAAGCTATTTCAGTTCTGACAAATGTGCCCGTCTCCATTCTCAACAACAAGCCTAGGCCAAGATAGCCAGCTCTGGCTCCATCATACAGCAGGTGTAGCTTAGCTCTGTCCCTTGAAGGTTTACGAATTTCCACCACAGTGGCTACTGCCAGTACTGCTGCTGGTAAAACTACCTGCCTTCATCTTGGTTTTGCTTTGTCTTGCTTGCATAGGAGTCTCTGGCCTAATGGATGCACTGCATTCTGCATGTCTTTCTTAAATGAGATTCCCCTTTTTATGCCTCTAAATCTTCATTTTTAAGCACACCAATAGGGTAAAAGCGCCCGGTCTACACGTAAGCAGGCTACACTTCTTATTTGCGTGTTCCTACCCCAAAAGTGCCGTTTACCTTATTTACATTAAGCTATCAATCCACTTCATGGGTCTTAAGTACCTAATATTTGTGTAATCCTACCCAGCGATGTGGTAAGAGTTACACCAACAATGACTAGAAAAGACATACTAAATAATCCATTAAAGCACAGAAGTTTCTCTCTTTTGCTTTTAAACCTGATGGACGATCACCTATGCATCAGTTCTTACTCCAGATAAAAGCATTGGGTGAGTTTGCGTGTAATCTTCCTATACATTTTTGTGGATATTTTTATAAGCATTTTTTAAACAGTTATATAAAAGTAGAAGCATACTAGATATATCTGACTATTTTATTTTTTCCTGAATAAAAACTTTTCTATGTCAGTAATGCATGGATCTAATAATTAATTTAAACAACTGGATGGTATTATGTTTGTTAATATACACCTGTTACATACCTGTACAATTGTTAACCTTATAAGGATAAAATGTAATTCTTTCATCATCTTATTTATGCTTGCCATGTTACCTTAAGAGAGTTTTTTAAAAAATACTCATTTTATGTATTCTTTGGTGTCTAGTTGAAAATAAACTACCTCCACCGGAAAATATTGAAGTAGAAGCCAAAAATCAGATCTATGTTCTTAAATGGAATTACATGTATGAAAATGTCACCTTTCAAGCCCAGTGGGTTTTGTAAGTTCTAGTGTATATATTTTCTTTAACCCAGTTTGATTATGCAGTTTACTGCAGCATGCCTGTTGGTGTACTGAGAGGCTAACTAAGAGGTGATTATGATACAGTATTAAATGTGAGAAGATTTGATTTAAGTTTAGACACTAGGAGGATGATACTAAGCTAATCAGTTAAACTCTCTGGACCTCAAGTCCTTTGTTTTTTGTAAAATTAGTTGTCTAAGAACATCTAGGCTACTTATTGGCTCCTTTTAAAAGGCATGCCTTTATTTCATTTAGTGAGTTTATTTCACCAATCTGGAATACTTGACAGTTAAACCTAATCTTTTCTTCAGAGCTCACTTCTATGAGTCCTTAAAATTATCTCTTTTACTCAGTTCTGTTCAGTTTAAAAAGTTAACCTTCCCATTTTCCTTTTCATATGTGTTTGTCTATGTCTTACTTGTTTTTTTAATGATAAAAATATACTCATTTCTTCCTCTGTATTGTGAGTTTCTTGAGGGTAGGCAACAGTTTATTTCTGTAACTTCATTCTCTGCATGTCTAACATACTGTAGATACTTTTAAAACATTGATTGAATTGACAGGCTAAAATTGAAATATTTTTATCTTAAAGTGGTTATTTAAAAAAGATTCCTGGGGATCATTCAGATCAATGGAAACAAATTCATGGCTGTGAAAATGTTACAACTACCCAGTGTGTCTTTCCACAAAATCTTTTCCGAAAAGGAATATACTTTCTGCGTGTACAAGCATCTAATGGAACTAACACGTCTCTTTGGTCTGAAGAGAAAAAGTTGAATACTGAAATGCAAAGTAAGCAAAGAATTTTTAGATTGTAATTCTCATGTTTATTTATTCAAGTTCATAAAGTTGGTTTTTAGCCTAGTTTAAACATAATGTCTTCTTTTTTCCCAGAAACTGTACTTCCTCCAGTCATTAGTATGAAAGCCATTAATAATTCACTATATGTCTACATTGGTACTCCAAAAGAGACTGAGAGCAAGTCGGTGAACCATTATTATCCAGTAACTTATGAAATTAAGTTTTGGAAAAACACATCAAATGCCGAGGTAAACTGAGAATATAATTTTTGTCACTTAGAACTAAAACTGTGATTGGATAAATAAACCTGGAAGTTAACTATTTTGCATACATTTTTAGTGCTATGATTAAGTCAGATACATCCAGTATAAGAGTACTAGTCCAGGTAATTTAGTCCCCACATGTGACATAGTTAAGATGAACCACATTTAAAATACTTTTGTTTGTATCTTATTGTTGATAATATACAGAGTTGCAACATGTAATTTGCTCATTTTATCATTTGAAGAATTTTAGTGATTTTTATAAAGATACTGGTAATTAAAAGAAGTATTAATGAAAACTGGGAAAAATGACTTAACAAACTTTTAACAGAGCCTCCTTGGAATAGGACCCTGTTTTGGGTTGTTATATTTTGTTTTGTTTTTAGAACCCTGTTTTAAGTCAGATTTTTCATACTTGCAAGATGGATCACTATTGTTGTTAGATGCACTAAGTCCTAAATTTAAAGGCAGATTCCTGAGTCCCATTCCTCTTTAATTAGAACTCCTGGAATAGAACCTCCTGATTTTCCATTTTAAACATGATTTCCAGTTTTTATCTAAATCTGTTTCCCACCTTCAGCATTGGTGACATTTAATCAAACAGTCCTGTGTTTTGGCGGCCAGAGTACTGTACTGGATTTGGAAGGTGCTTTGGTAACATTCCTTTACCTGTTCATGTCAGCAGCATCCACTCCAAGTGGTGACAACCAGAAATGTGTGTAGATGTTGGCAGATGTCCGTTGCAGGACAGAATTTCTTCAAGTTGAGAGCCACATGTCTCGTTCATAATCTCTTGAGGTGATTAACACCTGTAAGGGGCAAAAATTGGTTTTTAGGGAACAAAAGGAAGTATATAAAGTTTTGAATGAGATATGATAAGTGCAAGTTAATTGGCAAGTAAGAAAAACTCAGACTCATTGCTGTTGAGTCAAAACCAATTCACACTGCAGATTGCCAGATGCTATAAATCACAGGGGAGGAAACCAGAGGAGATTGCCCATCTTTCTCCCTCAGAACCACTGGTAGATTCACAGTGCCAGAGAGACTCCACATTTTTGTTAGCAGTGCAACTCCCTACGGACTATGCCACCAGAGTTTCCAGGCAAATAAGTTTCAGTCCATTTTCTTTTTTCTTCCTACCTTGTGTCTATAATAATAGTAATTTATGTTTACTGAGGTTTTTACTACATATTCTGCTGGCATAGTCCATAGGGAAGCACTCTGCTAACCCCAAGGTGACACCTCTCTGGCAGTTCACATCCACCAGTGTCTCCAGGGGAAGAAGATGGGCTGTGTCGTTCTGTGCAATTTACCAACACTGAAAACC